CTGTTCTCAGGAAGCCCCCCACACAACCTGAGATTGTGCTCTTCTTGTTTCAGAGCATTCTTTTGCTTTATCTTCTTAAGAATTTTTTTCTTTCTTCTTTTTTCCTGTTTTTTTCTCCCCATTAAACCTCACTTAGGAGTTACTGCTTTAGACACTAATTTTGTTCTTTCTTCAGGGTGCTGTTTTTAACTGATCCGTGACATTTTTGCCTTCTCCTGAGTTTTTGCATCAGATGTAGGTTTAGAGAGCAGTGATTTTGTCAGCAAGTGATGAAGAGTTGAGAGGTTTCTTTCCTCTAAGATAGTGGGGAATATATTAGCAGGCTGGGTCCTCACATTCGAGATGCGGATGAAGAAGCTTTTAGTTTTCACCTTCTCCCTGTGAGGGGGAGTAAAAGTCTTTGTTCCTCTGCGTGGGAGTGGGAAGCCTTTTCACCCCTTAACTAAGTTAAGCCTAGTATTGCTTGAAGACAGTGGGGGTCAGCTTCTCCCAAGGCTGTCAGTGCCACCTGGCCAAGAAGTTTAAGCTCCAGCTCTAGTTACCTTAGGAGGAAGTTGAGGTAGAGAAGTTATAAACATGTTTAGTCTGCTTCGGCTAATATGGAAGTAGCAGATTTGGCTTCTTTGAGAACATTTTTAGGTTCAAAAGTTATATTTTTCATGTGATAGAATGTTTTATGAAATGAACTACCTTTGGAGCTGAGCTGGGTTTTCAGAGTTTCAAAGTATGTACTTTTAATTGAGAACCTGCTTCATTACTGAAAGTTCTTCTGTAGTTCAGTATCATGAAGACCTAAGGCTCAGACGATCCTAGACCCTATCTGTATATCCAGGCATAAATGTTACTAAAAGTCCTGTGTACTCACCACATGAGTTTAATATGCCAGAATGGTACAAGTTTAAACATTTTCATTAGAAGTATGTTACATCATTGGAAATTAGATTCATTCATAAAGTAATCTAACTGGGATTAAGAGCTTATTAAAAAGATAACCACTGTTTAAGTATCCTAATTTATTCATCAGATAAAAATTTCCAGTGGGCAAATACTGGAGCAGCTGTGTTCGGAGCACAGTCAACCAGTAAAGTTGGCGAAGATGAAGATGGTAGTGATGAAGAGGTAGTTCATAATGAAGATATCCATTTTGAACCAATAGTGTCATTACCAGAGGTAAATATTAAAGAGTGAAAACCTTACTAATAACTTCACATTTTAAGTTTAAAACTTGACATGGGCTTGATTTGTAGGGCTGGCCTTGTTTGCATTTCTTTCAGAACATTGACCGTTTCAAATGGAAGCTCTTTATTAGAAGTTCAGCCTTTAAGTTCAAATAGTCTTTTTTTTTTTTTTTTTTTTTGGGGTACGCGGGCCTCTCATTGCTTTGGCCTCTCCCGTTGCGGAGCACAGGCTCCGGACGCGCAGGCTCAGCAGCCACGGCTTACGGGGCCCAGCTGCTCTGCAGCATGTGGGATCCTCCCGGACCGGGGCATGAACCCGTGTCCCCTGCATCGGCAGGCGGACTCTCAACCACTGCACCACCAGGGAAGCCCTCAAAGTCTTTTTAAAGAAATTTACATACAAATGTTATTTGGTAAATTCTATATGAAATCCTTGGGAAGAACTTAATTTTTTCATGTTTGTTTTCAGTAACGTAATTCTAGGGGCAAAAGAAAAAAACCCAACCAACATCTAATCTCATATTTGCCACAGTCCTTTCAATAAAAAGTAAACTGTACCTTTTCTGGACAAGAATGTTGTTTTAGGCAAATTACTTGTATCAGTTTCAACCTCAATCAGTAGATAATATTCAAGAACAAGCATTTTTTTGAAACCTCTCTTGTAAAAGAATGTATTTAGTTTCCAAAATGAGGAAGAATGTTACATAAGGGGAAAATGTGTAATGACAGATTTTTCCTGCCTCATCCAAATCAGATGTATTTGTAACCCTAGGATGTTAACTGTTTTCAAATTCTGTTCATGCCAGTGTCTTAAGGAATTTGGATCTTGGAATTTGTTATAGAATATTTTATAAGCAGCATCTTAGAGATAATTTCATGTCCTGTCACAGGTAGAAGTAAAATCTGGAGAAGAAGATGAAGAAATTGTATTTAAAGAGAGAGCCAAACTTTACAGGTGGGATCGAGAGGCCAGTCAGTGGAAGGAGCGTGGGGTTGGAGACATGAAGATCCTCTGGCACACGATGAAGAATTACTACCGGGTCCTGATGAGAAGAGACCAGGTGCTCAAAGTGTGTGCAAACCACGTCATCACCAAAACAATGGAACTGAAACCCTTGAATGTTTCCAACAATGCTTTAGTTTGGACTGCCTCAGATTATGCTGGTGAGCTCTACACTCAAATGCTACTTTCCGGTTTGGGGATTTTTCTAAAATTGGTAGCAAATACATAAAACAATTTGTAACAGTTATTACAACACAAAGGTCACTGTGTTGTTTGTTGTTTAATAGATGGAGAAGCCAAAGTGGAACAGCTTGCAGTGAGATTTAAAACTAAAGAAATGGCTGATGGTTTTAAGAAAAAATTTGAAGAATGTCAGCAGAATTTATTGAAAGCCCAGGAAGGACTGAGAGCAAAGGAGACGAACCCTGTGGTGTTTCTTGATGTCTGCGCAGATGATGAGCCTCTGGGACGCATAACCATGGAACTATTTTCAAACGTCGTTCCTCAGACCGCTGAGAACTTCAGAGCGCTGTGCACTGGGGAGAAGGGCTTTGGCTTCAAGAACTCCACTTTTCACAGAGTGATTCCAGATTTTGTTTGCCAAGTAAGTCTTAAGTGTGCATCACAATGGGTGTCTAGAAAAGTGCAGCACACCAACTTGGGGAGTTTGGGTGTTTCTTCTTACTTATGATTTTCTTTAGACTTCTTTAGCATTTCCACAGCCCCAGCTTCTGTCCCCACAAGAACTTTCAGCCTAAAACGGTTCATATTTTTAATGCCTTGAACCTGCTGGAAATCAAGGGTGGGAAAAAGATCTTTTCGTTGTTTGTCTTCTTTCACAAGTGGGTGTTTCTTAGTTTTCAGACTGCGCTCTCAAAGAAGCTGGGTGTTGAGGACCTACCCTTTAGTGGTTAGTTCTGTATGTATTTGTAACATTTTATTTGGGATTCCTGTTAATTGAAATCTTTTTTCAGGGGGGAGATATCACCAAACACGATGGAACAGGAGGACGGTCCATTTATGGAGATAAATTTGAAGATGAAAATTTTGACGTGAAACATACCAGACCTGGCTTACTATCCATGGCCAATCGAGGCCAGGATACCAATAATTCTCAATTTTTCATAACACTGAAAAAAGCAGAGCATTTGGACTTTAAGCATGTAGTATTTGGGTTTGTTAAAGATGGCATGGATACTGTGAAAAAGATTGAATCCTTTGGTTCTCCTGAAGGGTCTGTTAGTCGAAGAATTGTTATCACAGAATGTGGACAGATATAAACTCATTGTTTTTCATAGTAGATTTTACCTGTATAAACAGTTGAATTGAAGGCTAGCTGTTATGACAACATGGTAATTATGTTCAGCTTTTGAAAATGGACATTTCCAATGTATAAATATAAAATTGCAGCTTATAGCTGTTGTCACTTTTTAATGTGTTATAATTGACCTTGCATGGTGTGAAATAAAAGTTTAAACACTGGTGTATTTCAGGTGTACTTGTGTTTATGTACTCCTGACATATTTGTATTAAAATGGAGTAATACTAATCTTGTTAAAAGCAATAGACCTTCTCAAACTATTGAAGAAATACGATATATGCAATTTTAGTTTCTTCTAAGATATTAGACTTCCTGCATGGATATACTTACTGTTTGGATAAAGGGACCATGACTTGGATAGTTTTTATTTCAGATTTGGAATATATTTGGTAATTTTCACTATTGGTGTGCTCATTTATGAATAAAGATTCACTTGTGAGTGGGTAGAGCCAGAGGGTAGAGACTTAACCAAAGTGCTCTTCTATAAATTCTTGCACCTCCTGTATAGCTAACAGAGTACCTTTTTTCCTTAAAATGTTATGTAGCTTCCTGTGCTCTTCCCAAGGTATTAAATTAATTTTTACATTTTAAGTAAGTTGAGTATTTAGACTTTTTTAAAAACCTGTCATCTGTTTCTACTACCTCAAACTGCATTTGGTTCTGATAGAACTTGAATTTTTCCTTGCAGTTATTGTGATAAAGTATGAGTATTTTAAAAAGGTCTATACCATGTTCTTTGGTTAAAGATTTGGTTTATACTAGATTGTTGCAGTACCTTTTTCTGGTGAATTTTGTAGCAAAAATAAAGTGACAATTGTTAACAGCCATGACATTTAAAATATTCATTACTTGTGCATCTAGTTGTTTTTTCATTCTGGAACCAAAGTAAGGAGATAAAGATCCGTAAACTTAAACTGCCACCTAATTTCCAGAGCTCCCAAGGAGAGGACTGTTTTCCAGTTGGGCATACACTGAAAACTTACTTGGAAATGGCTAGTGTCAAAAGTTCGACAGAAAAAGGGGGCACATTCTCATCAGCTTACTCGTGTGGCACCACAGAGCACCCCGGGAGAGCACGTTTTGCGTATTCCAACCACTGCCGGCGGTGCCTTCTGCCCTCCGGGGTTCTTTCCAGCGGAGCCGCCTCATTTCGGGTAGTGAGGCAGTGGGGCTGTCGCGCCATTCCATTTGGGGTTTGGAAACAGGCAGTCCTGGGACAGCACCTGCTGACCGCCTGTAGTGCGGGGGTCATGTGGGGTCCGTGTGCCGGGAGCGGCGGACGGCCCCGACCCTCCGAGTGTGGGGGTGTTTGCGTGTGTGTGTATGCGGGGGGCGGGGAGTGGGTGGGTGGATGCATGCGGGTCCCCGCGCGCGGCTGCCTGGCGGGGACACTGGTGCCTGTCACGTTTCCGGGCGCCTCCCGAGGGATTCCAGGCTGCGGGAGGCACTCGGAGGCGCCCTGAAGATTACAACTGTGGACTCACAAGCTTGGTAACGAATGCTTTGGCCGAAACCGACTTCTCCAAGATTAGTGTCTCACAGCTGCTTCCGATGGGTTCGAGCGCTTATGAGACGGACCCGCGCGAGCTGCCCCTCGGCGCGACCCTCGGGAAGGAAAGGAAAACAGGAGAGACCCGCGCTCCGGCCCGCAACGCGCCCCCACGGCCCGCGAGTACGGACCTGCGCCAGCGGCCGCGCTTTTGCCGGGGAGACGACGGGGGCGCGGCGCGCCATGCGTCACGGCGCAAATCCGCTGCGCCCGCCCCGCCCGGCCGCGCGCCGTTGCCAGGGAGACGACGGCGGCCGCGGCCACGGAGCCGAGGGTGGTGAGGCCGCTCGGGCAGGACCTGATGGTGGAGCGCCTCAAAAGCCGCTACGGCGTAGGGGGCGGCTGCCCCGCCGAGGTGAGGTCCTGCCCTGCCTGTCGGCCCATGCCAAGTCCGCGGGTCGCCGGATCTGCGGGTCGGAGCGTGGGCGCGAGGCAGGGCCCCTGGCGGCGGCGGCGTGCATGCACTTGTGAGGAGGGTGCTCTCGGCGGGCACCGGGAGCGGGAGGGGCCGTGCGCGTCAGCGCGCAGATGCGTGGCAGGCGTTCCCGGCTGTGACTTGCGTGCGGGTTGGAACCGCCTCGGTCCCGCCCCATAGCGGCGAGTCCGAGCCGGTTTCAAGCCGAAAGGTGCGGGCGCGCGGCCTGGTGGATCCGCGGTGGCCGCCTCTGTGCGCGGACCCGGCGCGCGTGTCGGGGCGACAGGCAGGGGGCGCTGCGCCGGGCCGGGGACCCGGGATCAGGCCGGTTGTGCGGGGCGGGGGCGCCGGGCGGCCCGGCCAGCCCCGGTCACCGCTCCGTCGCTCTCTTTCAGCCCGGGCGCCGGCGGCCGGACGTGGCGGAGCGGCGACGGCGGCCTCATCGCACCCCAGGTAGGGCGGCGGGCCGGGTGTCCGCGCGGCTGGGGAGGCGCTCGCTCCTTTTTTCACCGCAGCAGATGTAGTTTATTGCGCAGCGTTTAATGCTTGAAGTGCATAAAGGGGAGAAATAAAGTGTTGAACGTTTCGGCACTGGCGGGATGTCGTGACGAGGTGGAAGGAGGGCGGATTCTGAACGTTCGGGGAGTTCGCCTACCGCCTGCGGTCCTTAGGTACCGACCCATAGAACAGGGGTTAGAGGCACCTGCTCTGCTTGCTTCCCCGCGTCGTTGCCGGCGTCACGTGCTGGGGTGGGGGGCGGTGATGAACGTCAGTGCTTGTTGAAGAGCTGACTCGATGCCTGTTTTCTGGAAGTCTGCATTAGGGAGACAGACAGGAAATCGGTACGTAGCTTTGTTCTCCTACGTTTCGGGGTCGAGAATGAGGTCGTTGATATCTAACCTTAGTGAGCAGCCTCTGCAGTCGTCTTTCCTGTTCACAGAGGACTTCGGTTTCTGCTCACGTGGAGATGAAGCTGGTCCGTCGCTGAGATGTTACTCTGATGAGAGGAGGCGCGGCCCCGCATCCCCCCGTGGTGCCCTCAAGCGTGGGACCGTCAGTTGGCAAGGTAGCCCGAGTCCTGCTCGGGCCTCCCCTGGGCATCTCGGGAAACTAAGGAGGGTCAGGGGCTGCCTGTGTGTTTGCTTTTCTCTGAGAGGAGCCTGCTGAGTGGTTGGAGAAACTGAGTGATTGTTACTGAGAATTTGATAAAAGCACAAACCTAGCATCGTGTTTGCTGGCATAATGCAAAGTTACTTACACTGTGTGATAGATGGCTCTTCATCCAGGACCCAAATGAAGACCTTGCTCCCCACCTCCCTTTTTTTTTTTTTTTTTTTGCGGTACGCGGGCCTCTCGCTCTTGGTTGCGGCCTCTCCCGTTGCGGAGCACAGGCTCCGGACGCGCAGGCTCAGCGGCCATGGCTCACGGGCCCAGCCGCTCCGCGGCATGTGGGATCTTCCCGGACCGGGGCACGAACCCGTGTACCCTGCCTCGGCAGGCGGACTCTCAACCACTGCGCCACCAGGCAAGCTCCCCCTTTTTTTTTTTTTAATTAAATAAGGAATTAGGGTAAAAACGAGTATAAGTTTGTTAGGCGGCGGTATTAACTCAGTCTGTGTCGTGTGTCTCCTGGTGCGGTGAGCACTGTGTTCCAGGTAGCAGAGAGAGAGATGGAAGAAGTCAGCCCAGGGAGCTGGTATCAATGCCTACAGTATATGTATGATGTGGTGCTGGGCTGTGAGGGGTCAGCAGTTTTGCAGAAGAGATTTTACTCTGGGTAAAACCACTGTAAAAACAATGGAAGCTAAGGTGAAATAAAGTTCTAAGTTGAATACTATTAATGCCAAAAATATGTGGCAGAAGGAAGTGCTTAGGTTTGGAGAGGGAGCAGACATTTTGAAATAACCTTAAACCATAAAGATGTGTATGTATACAAAATGAAACGTTGGGGTATTGTGGAGAGAAAAAAAGAAAGTTGTGCCTAAAGTATCTGTTAACGTGACTGATATTTTGGAGCTTGAATTGCTTCATTCTCTGATTAAACGAATTAATCCATGTAAAGGACTTAGAACAGTGTTTAGTACGTAGAGAAGCACTCAGATGCACCGCTGTTTATCATCATTACTGTTACTGCTGTTTCCTTTGGCGCTCACAAAGTCACCTAGTTGATCTGGAGTCAAGATTTGGACATGGGGTTGATCGAATATAGAGGAAGGAAAGAGAAAATTGCTGGAAGTTAATTATGAATTCATGGAAATTATTTTCATATATTTAACTGATGGTTTTATCATCTTTAAGGTAAGCAGTCTGGGTGTAATTTCAAGTTACAAGTTGAAGCTTGTGGACTGTGAATGTTTCTAACATTGGACAGTTTTTCCACAGTCCCTAGTTGTGATCTAGGGTGGAGTCGTAGAGCTGCCCAGCACAGGCTGCAGGTGTCTGTTGAATTCTTGAGATGGGGCTGGTCTGAATTGAGATGTGCTGTGAGTATAAAATACACAGCTGATTTTAAAGATGGATAAAAGATTGTAAAATGTCTTATTTTAAAATATTGATTGGGCTTCCCTGGTGGCGCAGTGGTTGAGAGTTCGCCTGCTGATGCAGGGGACGCGGGTTCGTGCCCCGGTTCGGGAGGATCCCACATGCCGTGGAGTGGCTGGGCCCGTGAGCCATGGCCGCTGAGCCTGC